AAGACATTTTTACAGCATTTTTAACTTCAAACCGTTACTTCATCACCTGTTGTCCTCTCATTTCAAAATCCTAACTGTTTTGGACTGTTTTCACTTATAAACGGGGCTTTATCTGTGCATATTTCGCTCCTGATTCAGACAAGACAATTTTATCACTGAAGAAACAATATTATGGATAGAGGACTGGAAGCAACAGCTAAATTTTAAACAGCTAAGTTTAATGATGGATTTGATTCTTACATTACAATTGATGGACTGGATGCGTATTGATCACTTGTGGATTATTGTGATGTTTTTATCAGCTGTTTGGACTCTCATTCTGACAGCACCCATTCTTTGTAGAGGATCCATTGGTGAGCAAGTGATGTAATGCAAAATTTCTCCAAATCTGTTCAGATGAAGGAACAAACTCATCTACATCTCGGATGGCCTGAGGGTGAGTATGTTTCCAGCTAATTTTAATTTTTGGGTGAATTATTCCTTTAAAAGCTTAGTAGTGGTGTTTGCTAAGGCTATTATCACTACTATTGCTCATTTTTAGGGTTAAGGATTTGAAACCTAACTTGACCTGCACAGTTTGTGTGAGTGATATAAATGATACTTCAAATTATCTGGCTTGTTGAGGTGTGATATTACTTTTCTAGGCTAGGTGATATTCTTTTCAAATTTATACTTTTTACCTAGTGGATGATAAAAAGAAAAATATAGTTATAGACTTGAATTGAAGGAGGTACCTGAGCTATATCTGGGGGACGATAATATCATAGAGACTTATGCTACCAGCCAAAAGTTTGGGGTCAGTACGTTTTTTTTTTAAAGAAATTACTTTTAAAGAAATACTTTTTTTTTTTAGCAATGACACGTTTTCTGTGTATTAATTGATCAAAGTGACAGTAAAGACATTTATAATGTTACAAAAGACTTTTTTTAAAAAAGCTTGGGTTTTTTTCTATTCCTCAAAGGATCCTGAAAAAAAAAATTGTATAATAGTTTCCCCCAAAAAATTAAGCAGAACAAATGTTCTAGCAACATCCCTCTTTGAATTACGATAGAAAACCACAGAATACTGTAGCAACTGCTATTTTGGATAGATCATGTATATGGGAGCATACATTTCAACAAAATACATATAGATTTTATGGTAAATCTATAGGAGTCTTTTACGGTACACTGCAGGAAAGCAGATCAATATTAATTTACACATCAGCCTCTCCACCATTGCATGCATATCTATGTTTGTTTTCCTGTATGTGTCTGCATGAAGAGGTTTCCATGAAGCTGCTGTAATGTGTTTGAGTGGAGGCTGGGAGTTTCTGCTCATGTCTGTGTGCACTTCCTCAAGGCCCATCAGTCCACACATCTGCTACCACACATTCCTCCACAGCACACTATTCATCTGAGTGTTCACTATCAGTCATCGGCTACACTGTGGCTTGTCAGTATACTTTTGATGAGGAAAACATTGAGAGGTCAGGGATCTAATTTAACCACTTCTTTGATAAAGAATACTGATCTGACGATGTCCCTCTTGCTGTTCAATTTCACAGTTAATTTCAGATATCTTGTAGGCTACCACAAAAGGTTCACTAAGAATGAGTATATTATATAGAGTATAATATTATAGACCTATAGACCTACCACATTGCAGATAGATAGCTAGATAGATAGATAGATAGATAGATAGAATAATATATAATATAGAATATATTATATAGTATATATTATATTAATATATAATATAGAATTTGTATATAATATTTGTATGTAAATAATATATATATAGTATATAATATATATATAGTATATATATAGTATATATATATATATATATTATAATTTAGTTAATTAGAGCTTATCATTTATTTTTACATTACTTGATTTATCTATTCATTTAATTTTAATAAAGGTAGGGAATTGTAAGGCAATTACAAAACAAAATAAATAAAACGTACTGGCCCTAAAATAGGCTTAATGTTCTTTAAGAAAAATATGTTCTTGACAGGTTAACTACACAATAATGCATCTCATAGACCTTTTTAGATACTGCTGTTGGAAAATACTGAAATGTGTGGTGAAACATAAGAAAAAGTGGATAATACCAAAATGTAAGGCCTCTTTATCTGAAAATGATCAACTCAGAGGCGACACGCACCACATCTCACAGTGCTTTGTCGCCATCACTGGTCAAATTGTGAACTGCAAGATTTGATCAGACACTGCTTTAGGTCTTCCTGTTTGATGAAACATATTTCTGCTTTACTCACTAAATGTGTGTCTGTTAGAGCAGCAACCGGGGGGGCGGGGGGCGGCGGTAAGTTAATTGCAAAGTTTAGTCAAGGTCATCAATGTTTAGATCTCTGCAGCTATTGTTTGCTTGAAATTGACTTACGGTAATTATCAGCGTGACATGCGTGATTAACTGGAGGAGCCCATTGTGAGCGGTTCATCGCTAGTGACAGGCTAAAGTCAGTCGTCTCCGCTTGTTTTTCCTCTTGTCGTGCTGCCTTTGAAGTCCGGTGATATTTCTTTAGACTTTGAAGTTTGTTCAGTAGCCCCAGAGTAAAACAGCTCATCCAGCGTCTGCTATTAGCCTTGTTTACTTCGTTTTCTCTAGCTTCGACTGGATAATATTTTAGGGGAAATATAGTTTTCATGTGTTTAATTTTTATGCGTATTTACTGTTCAGTGAAATTAAGTCTTCCTCAGCATAGGCAATTAAAGGATTCTGGGTATGAATTTTGATATGGAGAGTTTGCATGCATTTGTGTTTAGGATACATTGCGAATGACAACTTAGACTTATGAAATGTCATTTTTCAGTCAGTCTTGGCTTAGTGTAGTATTCCATATATATATATATGTATATATATATAAAATATAATAAAATGTTTTTGTGTCTGTGTGTATAAATATATAATAATATATACGTTTAATTTACTTTGTTCAAGTAATATTTAAACTGTTTATTTTAATTTCAGGTAAAACGTTTGATTTGAGTCATATGGCCTATACTATATATATATATATATATATATATTAGCAGGTTGGTTTACAGTCTTTGTATCAAAATTGCTTTTGTGTAAAAATGTATTGTAAATGTATTACTTTGATGTCAAAACTAAAAATATAACATTATTTTTAAATAACTGAACTTGCTTATGTTTTTGGCTACATTGCATACTTAGTAAAAGTCTGACAACAGTTTTCAATACTTTTTACATTTCTGTCTACAGCTGATTGATGTAAAATGTAGTAAACAATGCAGTTTTGCCACTGGGGGTCAGTATAGGCTCAGCAGAGACTAACTTGAAGTGATCTTACTTAAAGATATGAAAAACAAGTTGTAATATTAAAGTTTGACTTTGAATAGTTTCTCATGAAAACTTTTGCTGAAGAGTACAAAACCAGTGTTAACCAGTCCGGTGCTCCAAATAATAAACTCTCTTCTCTACTTCAGTGGCCTCACATAATTGACTTTTGTCAAGTGTGCCTGATGTTTTAAGGGACCACCGGAATTCTTAATTCAGTCACATTCTGGCCAACAGGTATAACTCCTTTCTGAGTGGCGCCTGGGTCTCTCTGAAGGGAATAGCATGCTCATTCATTGAGTAATGTACACTTTTGTTGCTGGATGGCTGGGACCATTGAAGTGAGAGCCATTGAACTCTGTCTGGCACCCAGATTACAGCACCGCTGCTTCTCACGCTTTCCAGTGAGCAGTTAAACTGAATGAGAGAGCCAGAGAAAAAAAAAAAGTGTCGTTCCCACCAGGTTACGCGAGGGCATGTTCTGTCCCGCTTCACTCATTAAAACATTTCCACATGCACCCCTGGCGGGTTTGGTGAGAAGCCTCCGGCCAATTTAATTAAAACCACAGCAGGCTGATTTGGTGTATTCACAGCTTTTGGTGTTTGCTTGGGACACTTTGGTGGAATTTTTTTACTTATCCCCTTCACTTCCCAGCCTTCTTTGCACCTTAAATGCATGAAAATCCTCAATCATCAAGTATATAACAGGAAGAGTTCACCCAAAAATGGAAAATTGTTCAAAATGTATTCACCCTCAGGCCATCCGAGATGTAGATGAATTTATTTCTTCATCAGAACAGATTTGGATAAATTAAGCATTACATCAGTTGCTCACCAATGGATCCTTTGCAGTGAATGGGTGCCGTTAGAATGAGAGTCCAAACAGCTGATAAAAACATCACAACAAACCAGAAGTAATCCACATGACTCCAGTCCATCAATTAATGTCTTGTGAAATGAAAAGTAATTATAAGAAACAAATCCATCAATGTGTTTTAACTCTAAACTGTCACTTCTGGCCAACATACCAATCCATAATACATAAAGCTTTCTCCAGTGAAAAAAAAACCTTGTTCTTTCACATCAAGATCCACTAATTTTGTTTTTGACTTTTTTTTCTCTCTTCTTGTTTTCTGTTCATTTAGAACGGTTTTGAACAGTTTTTACATATTTCTCTCTGGGTTCAGACAACACGTTTGCTGGAGGAAGCAGTGTTAAAAAAACAAATATTATGGATTTCTTACAAATATGCAGTTTTTCACTTCACAATGCATTAATTGATGGACTGAAGTAGTGTACATTATTTGTGTATTATTGTGATGTTTTTTTTAATCAGCTGTTTAAACACTCATTCTGACGGCACCCATTCACTGCAGAGGATCCATTGGTGAGCAAGTAATTTAACGCTAAACGATTTCTTTAACAGTTTGGAATGTACATAGAACTCTTCTTTCCTTTTGTCCCCTCTTTATAGACAATCAAGTATTAGCTTTTGGACAGCTTGTAAGCACATCCAACACTTATGAGGACCACGACCCCAAAGGAGGCAGAAAACCTGTGAGGGTCACCACCGACCAGCCACTTTTATGGAGCATGGGAATTAAACCACAGTGAACAAAGCACTGGAGCAGCAAGCCTTTAAAACGTGCCTTTTCTTCAGCACTAAGAGCATTTTATTAATGAAGACAATGAGTAGTGTAGCCTTTGATTTATTAACACAGCCAAATATAAATGTTAACACACACAAAAAAAAAACATTTTTTACAAATGTTCGCATTCAGTCCATCATCCAACACTTTCAGGCAGCCAAAGGTCCATTTGGCCTCACAATGCAGCTGATTCAACCACCACTGTTAACAAAAGACAAACAACCCTGCTTTAATCACAGACTAAATCAAATCAAAAACTGAATGAAACAATGTCTGTTCAAAAGGCACTGTATATGCACTGTAGTATTTGATTGTATCGTGTTTTAGTAATCAATGGTTTTTCCACATTAATTGCAATAAAAGACTGAATTACATTGTGTTTTTTGTGGATTACTTACACAATGATGTTGTTGATGGGGATGTGGATGAGTTTGACAAAGAATCCAATGAAGCCCATGATGGCAAATCCAATTGCTGTTGCCATGGCAATCTTTTGGAATTCTAGAGACCAGAAATAAAAAAGAAGCTATTTTTTCATAATCGTGAAACAGACTTAAGTACATGTAATATTAAATATGCTCAGTAAATATAAATATAACAATATAGTTCGCAATAAGTTCGAAATACTCAATGTTTATTTTCTTTTATAAACATTACTTGTTTAACACCGTTTTCCTCCAAATTGCTGTCTATTTGTAAGATTTTTCTCTTTTTCATAACCACTATCTTTGTCACAAGCAATTAATCTGCATTCAGCTTAAAAGAACTTAATAAAAATTTATATTTTCATGTATAATTACAGCATCAGCATTCCTGAAATTTCTTTATGCTTACCAAATCTTTGAATCAGAAAGACAACAGACTCATTGGACGTACCTTTTCTATCTGGCTTTGTGCATCTTTTCACTAGTCTGATGGAGTCCTTGACGAACTGCCTGCTCGGCTCCACGAACTGCATGACCTGATCCATCCTGGTGTGAGGCTTGAGAGAGAACAGAACATTTCAACTCACACAAATGTGAACTACAAACACTAAACACCCACATCAGAGAACAGAACGCGAACCACATCCAGACCTCTGCATTACTACACCACTATCTCACAGGAAAGAGAACATTTCACAGAAACCAGTCAGATGCTCACAGGTTTCACTACGTATGAATTTAATAAAGCCCCAGATAACAGTTACCCTCTACCCCGAAACCCAAGCACAAGAATCCCATCTACTGAAAAGCTAGTTTTTAAAATAGATTCTCAAAAGGTCCCAGTTGTTAAATCCTTAACTTAATTAACTAACTACAAATCTTTAATGACCAACGAGTCTGACTATAATCTACAGATTGGCTAACTAGCACTGTTAGCCTGCATGATGCGCACTTTACACTAGATAAAAACATTAGCAAACTACTTTGATAATCATTTCTAAATTGATTCATAAACCAATAGAACATAAGCATCTAAATATGAAGCATTTCTAAACTCAGTTTAAGACAGTGATAATATCTGATCGATCAGAAACTGTGTTTACGCTGAATTCTGAAACTCGCCAATCACAAGAGACACGTCCTCAGTAAGACACACAGCCGTATAACCTTATTTTAAAACGGCATTTTTTTACTTTATACCAATATAGACTACTAAAGACGCAAAGTCGACGAAAAGAAGCTTACCTGTGTTGACAAATCAAAGGACGAAGCAATCGTTCAGCTGTAAGTAACAAACTGACTCCGCTGTGCGTAAAGCCACGTAGATTTAGGGAACGACTGACGCGGCGTTCAGATTTACGCATGCGCGCTCGCTCACAACTCCTGCGCAGTGACGTGCTCACTGCCATCTAGCGACTGGAGTTCACGGCGCAAAACAGCCTGTCCACATCATTATTACTGCAGAGCTAGAAACAGCATTGCTGTCTATCAGTAGGTGGTCCTCACTGCAGAACACATGATCCAGGGGGCGAGGTTGGATCCAGATCCAACTCCTCCCACCTTACCAGTGTTGGGGAGTAACTAGTTACATGTAACGGAATTACGTAATTGTAATCAGTTACAGTTACTAAGAAAAAATGTGTAATTAAATTACAGTTACTTATGAAAATGTTAAGGATTACAAAGGGGGTTACATCTGATTTTTTTCCACACACACTCCCACATACAGATTTATTTGAGTTCTTTCATAAGTTGCAGTGACTGCTCTAAAATATGAAACACCAATGTTTCAGAGGTTTATAACATGCTTATCCGATAGTGTTTATGTATATGCTTTCTTTTTTTTAAGATTAACTGTTTTTTTCTAAGGCATTGTTAGATTCCAGTGTTTCCTGTCATGGCTATGCAAAGATTTGATTTCAAAAACAGTATCATAGCTATTACACTATTTCTTGTTATGATTTTAAATATGTATTTAACCTCAGAATGATTTTAAAGCAAGTCTGAAATCTGCAGCTGGATCATGAACAATGGGTACTGATCCATCCTTGAGTTTTAACTTTTGAACAAAACCTGCCTTGAATTGTCCCTCGTTCAGAAAGCTGCCTGGAGTAAAATGATTTGTGCAGCCAGAAATAAACAAATTTAGTGAAAGTGAATTGAATTGACATATGGCTAAGTATGGTGTCCCATACTCAGAATGCAATTAATGTCTTGTGAAATGAAAAGTAATTATAAGAAACAAATCCATCAATGTGTTTTAACTCTAAACTGTCACTTCTGGCCAACATACCAATCCATAATACATAAAGCTTTCTCCAGTGAAAAAAAAACCTTGTTCTTTCACATCAAGATCCACTAATTTTGTTTTTGACTTTTTTTTTTCTCTTCTTGTTTTCTGTTCATTTAGAACGGTTTTGAACAGTTTTTACATATTTCTCTCTGGGTTCAGACAACACGTTTGCTGGAGGAAGCAGTGTTAAAAAAACAAATATTATGGATTTCTTACAAATATGCAGTTTTTCACTTCACAATGCATTAATTGATGGACTGAAGTAGTGTACATTATTTGTGTATTATTGTGATGTTTTTTTTAATCAGCTGTTTAAACACTCATTCTGACGGCACCCATTCACTGCAGAGGATCCATTGGTGAGCAAGTAATTTAACGCTAAACGATTTCTTTAACAGTTTGGAATGTACATAGAACTCTTCTTTCCTTTTGTCCCCTCTTTATAGACAATCAAGTATTAGCTTTTGGACAGCTTGTAAGCACATCCAACACTTATGAGGACCACGACCCCAAAGGAGGCAGAAAACCTGTGAGGGTCACCACCGACCAGCCACTTTTATGGAGCATGGGAATTAAACCACAGTGAACAAAGCACTGGAGCAGCAAGCCTTTAAAACGTGCCTTTTCTTCAGCACTAAGAGCATTTTATTAATGAAGACAATGAGTAGTGTAGCCTTTGATTTATTAACACAGCCAAATATAAATGTTAACACACACAAAAAAAAAACATTTTTTACAAATGTTCGCATTCAGTCCATCATCCAACACTTTCAGGCAGCCAAAGGTCCATTTGGCCTCACAATGCAGCTGATTCAACCACCACTGTTAACAAAAGACAAACAACCCTGCTTTAATCACAGACTAAATCAAATCAAAAACTGAATGAAACAATGTCTGTTCAAAAGGCACTGTATATGCACTGTAGTATTTGATTGTATCGTGTTTTAGTAATCAATGGTTTTTCCACATTAATTGCAATAAAAGACTGAATTACATTGTGTTTTTTGTGGATTACTTACACAATGATGTTGTTGATGGGGATGTGGATGAGTTTGACAAAGAATCCAATGAAGCCCATGATGGCAAATCCAATTGCTGTTGCCATGGCAATCTTTTGGAATTCTAGAGACCAGAAATAAAAAAGAAGCTATTTTTTCATAATCGTGAAACAGACTTAAGTACATGTAATATTAAATATGCTCAGTAAATATAAATATAACAATATAGTTCGCAATAAGTTCGAAATACTCAATGTTTATTTTCTTTTATAAACATTACTTGTTTAACACCGTTTTCCTCCAAATTGCTGTCTATTTGTAAGATTTTTCTCTTTTTCATAACCACTATCTTTGTCACAAGCAATTAATCTGCATTCAGCTTAAAAGAACTTAATAAAAATTTATATTTTCATGTATAATTACAGCATCAGCATTCCTGAAATTTCTTTATGCTTACCAAATCTTTGAATCAGAAAGACAACAGACTCATTGGACGTACCTTTTCTATCTGGCTTTGTGCATCTTTTCACTAGTCTGATGGAGTCCTTGACGAACTGCCTGCTCGGCTCCACGAACTGCATGACCTGATCCATCCTGGTGTGAGGCTTGAGAGAGAACAGAACATTTCAACTCACACAAATGTGAACTACAAACACTAAACACCCACATCAGAGAACAGAACGCGAACCACATCCAGACCTCTGCATTACTACACCACTATCTCACAGGAAAGAGAACATTTCACAGAAACCAGTCAGATGCTCACAGGTTTCACTACGTATGAATTTAATAAAGCCCCAGATAACAGTTACCCTCTACCCCGAAACCCAAGCACAAGAATCCCATCTACTGAAAAGCTAGTTTTTAAAATAGATTCTCAAAAGGTCCCAGTTGTTAAATCCTTAACTTAATTAACTAACTACAAATCTTTAATGACCAACGAGTCTGACTATAATCTACAGATTGGCTAACTAGCACTGTTAGCCTGCATGATGCGCACTTTACACTAGATAAAAACATTAGCAAACTACTTTGATAATCATTTCTAAATTGATTCATAAACCAATAGAACATAAGCATCTAAATATGAAGCATTTCTAAACTCAGTTTAAGACAGTGATAATATCTGATCGATCAGAAACTGTGTTTACGCTGAATTCTGAAACTCGCCAATCACAAGAGACACGTCCTCAGTAAGACACACAGCCGTATAACCTTATTTTAAAACGGCATTTTTTTACTTTATACCAATATAGACTACTAAAGACGCAAAGTCGACGAAAAGAAGCTTACCTGTGTTGACAAATCAAAGGACGAAGCAATCGTTCAGCTGTAAGTAACAAACTGACTCCGCTGTGCGTAAAGCCACGTAGATTTAGGGAACGACTGACGCGGCGTTCAGATTTACGCATGCGCGCTCGCTCACAACTCCTGCGCAGTGACGTGCTCACTGCCATCTAGCGACTGGAGTTCACGGCGCAAAACAGCCTGTCCACATCATTATTACTGCAGAGCTAGAAACAGCATTGCTGTCTATCAGTAGGTGGTCCTCACTGCAGAACACATGATCCAGGGGGCGAGGTTGGATCCAGATCCAACTCCTCCCACCTTACCAGTGTTGGGGAGTAACTAGTTACATGTAACGGAATTACGTAATTGTAATCAGTTACAGTTACTAAGAAAAAATGTGTAATTAAATTACAGTTACTTATGAAAATGTTAAGGATTACAAAGGGGGTTACATCTGATTTTTTTCCACACACACTCCCACATACAGATTTATTTGAGTTCTTTCATAAGTTGCAGTGACTGCTCTAAAATATGAAACACCAATGTTTCAGAGGTTTATAACATGCTTATCCGATAGTGTTTATGTATATGCTTTCTTTTTTTTAAGATTAACTGTTTTTTTCTAAGGCATTGTTAGATTCCAGTGTTTCCTGTCATGGCTATGCAAAGATTTGATTTCAAAAACAGTATCATAGCTATTACACTATTTCTTGTTATGATTTTAAATATGTATTTAACCTCAGAATGATTTTAAAGCAAGTCTGAAATCTGCAGCTGGATCATGAACAATGGGTACTGATCCATCCTTGAGTTTTAACTTTTGAACAAAACCTGCCTTGAAGTGGAGGTTTAGGTATATGTAAGGTGGGAGGAGCTGGATCTGGATCCAGCCTCGCCCCCTGGATCTTGTGTTCTGCAGTGAGGGGCTACTGTCTATCAGCGGCATATGCATTTTTTTAAACGGTTTATCTAAACAATTTTTTCCTCAAACACAGTTTTCCTTAAAATTGCAGCGAGGCATTTCATGTTCTATTATAGAATCCTATGCTTAAGCGAGGCTTCATTTTACAAAGCTCCTATGGGGACGTGATGATGGAGAAAATATGAGATGGGAAATATATTTCATAGCTTTTGCATTCGCACTTCGCTCACAACATACTCAGTTACGCAAAGTTTCTAGGTGAACTCAGAAGTTTTGAACGCAAAGTTTTTATGAGTAAACACAGTTTTTTTCGGGTGAACGTAAACGTTTTGTGAGCCAATGCAAAACCATTCAAATATGTTTTCCCCTTATATTTTATCTGTCGTCCATTTAGTACTGAGCCCTCAAAACTTTTGTGCTCTCCTGAGAAATTAGCGTTCACTCGCAAAACTTTTGTGATGGAAATAATATGAGGTGCGCAGAGCCCCTTAGGTAACATGGTGATATAAAAAAAAATAGATGGAAAGAAAAATGCTTTGGCATTCCCTCGAGAAACTTTGTATTCGCTAGCAAAACCACTGAAATATATGATAAAATGCTAAAGTTTTGACGCTAAAGTCGTGCTAGAGAATGCAAATTTTCTCAGGGAGACACAACATTTTTGTAAGAGAACGCGAAAACACTGAAATATGAGTTTTCATCTAGGGGTTGACCGATTATCGTCCTGGCCGATTATCGGCGCCAAAATTAAGCTTTTTTATGGTTATCGGTATCGATCATTTAAAAAAAAAACGATTTGCCGATAAAATAATTTAAAAGCATTTAAAGAAAGTTTTTGTCAGAGCCCTTGTTATTCTTAATTTTGAC